CCCCAAAACCCCAAAACCCCGGGGAATAAAAATATTATTAATAAGATATTTAAAAATAATTATATAGCTAAATTAAATTAAAAAAATAACAATATGATGGAGTATAGTAATAACTTTGAAGGTAAATCCCTAAATATCCAAGATAATAGCAGTATGAACTAGGATATCTAAAATGACAAGCACAAGAGATAGAAAAGTATAACAAGCTGAAATTAAAACAATTAGAATCTAAATCATTCAGACTATGGAGAGGTACGTTATAGCAGCGACAACAATATGAATTACTATTCTAACTTGACTGAGGATTCAGAAAATACAAATAACAATATTTAAGAAAATGAAAGGCTAAGACTAATTAAAAATAAGTTAAAATAATTAAGATAGTAGGCAGATAGATATCAAGATGCCCCAGAATCCGATAAAATATCAATAAATACTGCATCAAGACAATCTAATCCAAAGGGAAGGAATAAGAATGCACAGTTTGATTCAACCTATACTTCCTAGACTTAGAAAAATAAAACTCAACATATTAGCAATAATTGAAATGCCAAAAACTTGAAAATTAGTGAATAGTATGAAATTAATGAAGAGCAGAATACAATCGAATGAAATCTAGAACAAAGAGAAGACTTTTAACAAATCCAGAGAAGGCTCTAAGAACTAAGGGATGAAAAAAAACTTTGATTTAATCAGAAATCAGCACTTATAATTTAAAACAATGATCTAAGCGCATAATATTCTACAATAGATCAAGTTTTGCAACCAGAAGACACTTATACATTAGATTTAAAGAATAATTAAAGAGATTAATTCAATAAGAGCGCACTTACAGTCAATAAATCCATTTCGCCTCAAAGATTTGAAAATGATAATGTAGAGATATCTTCATATAATATATCACAAATGTCCTCAAATAAGAAATAAAGACTTTACTAGAAGATGCAAGATCAATTTATTCAAAAGCAGTAACAAACAGACCATGAAAGATAAATTAAATTGCAAAAAATTAAAAGCCAAAGTGTACCCCTAGATAAAATGAATATTGAGGCTCATTAGCAAGTTTACGATCAAATCAAGAATTAACATTAGTATGATCGCATAAATTAAGGACTTAACCAAATTACTGATTTAAATCTAAAGAATCTTTACAAAAACCCTATTCTTAAGAAGCTAAAGTAATAAGATCAAGAAGTTAAGGAGTAGTAAGTTAAATAATTGGAGGATAAGCGCTAGCTTATTAGTAAGAAAGATTAATACGCATAATTTGTGAGAGAAGTGTTCAAGCCTCAAGTGATTCGGACTACTCAAGCTAGAAGTCAAGATAGAAATGGATAATTAAGTAATAGTATTCTTAGTCGAAATATATAGGAATAATTTTCAAGTAACCAGCAAGACTCAAACAAAACATAAATTAAGAGTTTATAACAAAGAAGGAAAATTTAGAATCTAATTGGCTTGAAAAGATAGTGTAAATAAATTATCTATAAATTTAACAAAATTTAGAGGAATAATTCTAAGAAGAAGGTAGAAAAGTAAAACTGCCAAAGATAAAGCTAGGTGGATTTTATGAGCTCTAGGAACTTGTTAAACTAGCAGATCCAGACTTTTAGTTAAAAGAGGATGAGAATATTGAGAGTGATGACGAGCCAGATCAAATCTTTAAAGATTAAACTAAACTTAATAAGGACCAATCCAATATACGATTAAAAGGAAATTTTAGCAAGAATACTATTCTTAAAAATGAGCGATAGCAATACTCTCAATAAAACTTGATTAAGCTTGTGCCAATGGTTTAAAAATAAAGTTAACACTAAAACATCAATGGAAAGCAGAATCATTCTAATAAAATGAAAAGAAATGAAAGTGATTCAAGTTTTGATTCCAACTGCTCAGAGTGCTAGAGACACAGAGCCTAAAAAAGTCAAAGTACTAGCCAAATTAGGCAAAGACGAGAACACAAAAAGCATCCTGTAAGCCACTATGTTCCCTAGAGCAAATTAAAATAAAGTTACAAAAATCCTTATGATTGGAAAGAATATATACCTAAGGACTTTCATCATAATAGTAATAGTGATACAGATATAATAAAGAATGGCAAAATTATAAATAGCTAGGCTCTCTAGTGGGAGAGAAAAGCTATGTAAAAAGAGATTATGATAAAGTAAAGTATGAGAGATGAAAGCGTCAAGGAGACTTAGGATATTAATTCTAAATTTTTAGGGGCCCTTAAGGCTAAACTAAGTATAATCGATAGTTTCGAACTTTGATAATTTATTTTAGATTAAATATGAATGGTCTTATTATTGGAATTAATTTCATAAACTTAAATAAATTTTGAAGCATGGGGTTTTGGGGTTTTGGGGTTTTGGGG